ATCTGGTGAATAGCCTCACAGAGGCTGAACTTTGTCATAAGATCTACTTACAATATGTTACCCTCTAGAACTAACATGGCCAGATGTCGTGCGACTCGACATGTCCCTTTTGCACAGCTAAGCAGACGCTCGAGCACGTATGTGTCCGCGTTGCAGAAAAACCAAAGGCCAAGGGCGATATACGTAATGTCACAATAAAGACTTGAAAGAGCTAGCGGACATTGTGGATAAAGCCAGGATGAAGGCCAACACGAGTGCCAGTTACAACGTCCACCCCTCTCCCCACTAACCCTCAAACCTATGCACTTCTTCAGGGCTGGCCAGAGGTAAATTCAACAAAGTCGCATATGCTCCATCAGTACTGTGCGAGGGACTGATTACTGGTTTAACCTGCCTAGTTTCGAGAAATATCCTTAATCAGTCCGAAAGACCGACCTGAGGCCAGTCATGGTTATGTACACCAGCTCATCCTGATAGAGCTTAGCGTGCCGGGCGAATCGGGGAAGGAAGAAAATCACCCTTACAAGCTCAAAAGGCACTGTTAATTGGTGGCCGGTCTGAGAAGAGATGAGGCGTACGCAGTAAAACTCGAGGTAGGCGTACGAGGGCTATTTAACACCTCCACATACAGTGTACTAAAGCACATGGGCTTGCACATGAAAGGAACAGAAAGGGGCCACAAAACACCTGGGTGAATCGGTTGAAATGGCTTAGAGCTGACTGTAGATGCCATGGAACGTCGTGGGGTATAGACCTCGGTAGACTGGTCCAAGCCCCTAGTGGAAAGGAACCTTTTATCCCTCAAAGCCAAAGTGTCCGAGTAAGTCGAGCATGTCTCTCTGCCAGTTACCAAAGTCTAAAATCTGTCCGAGGAGCTAATCGTATACTTGTCACTCTGGTCGTGAAGGTAGGCGCATAATTTGCTACCGCAGCGACAACATATAACACCAAACCTCACAATACCTGTCGCAAAGCCACCGTTTCGTCTTGTCCAAACGTCTGTTTAGCGCACCAAGAGCTGTTCGTGGATTGGAGTCATAAACAGGCCGACCCACCCCCCCCCTCCCCATTTTCTAGGGAGATAATGGGTAGAACCAATTGTCGACGAGGGACCGTTGAACTAATGAGAAATAAACTCCTGTTGTGCATGCTCCCGAGGTCAAGTTCTTCTTTTTATTATTGTCATAACTTCCAGATTATCTGAAATGTTTCAGTCACCATTTTAAAGCTCTGAAATCTGGAGCGATTTCTCGTGGATGCAAAGGTAGCTGTTTACGTTGCACTGAAACAACGAATTGCAGTAAAACATACCACATGAGTGCCTATCCCCAGCTCGTTCATCTTTTACATCTATAGTTATTACCAACATCACCATCATCTACCATTAACCTGTCCAGTCATCAAGATGTTCTCTCATGACGGTCGCCTTATCACTTGACCGAAGAAAACGGATTGGCTCTTGTTATAATAGGATATAGTATTTTGTTTTACATTTCTTCAGCAATTTCCAGGCAATCCTTGTTAGTCGCTCAGTGCACCTTATCCGCATTCTGCGTCTCAGAAACCACATCTCCACGGTCTCTGAGTTCCTCTTATGTGTTCATTCAAATTTCAGGATTCACAGCAGCTCTAGTTCACCATCGTATCTCAGTATTATTATTATTTGTTTCTGTTTGAGGAGAGAGACCATCTTTTGAAACGTGATCTTCGCTCCTCATACCCTGCTCTTAATCTCTGTCCCACATCTTCCATCAGATTTTATCATTATCTCTAAATATTTGAATGTTTATTTATTGTACAAATAGAAACAATAGACATAATGAAACTTATTGTCAAATAATTAAATTTTCTTGCAGCTGAGCGGCCTTCTGTTACCTTTAGTTAAATATGCCAAACTTTCGTATGGAGTTTTGCTCAACACGTCAACGATGGAAGCCTTCTATGAAACAGACAATGGTACTTCTGAGCCTTCGTCTCCTTCCAGCAAACCTCTGACTAATCTACAAGATTACCACTTCCGTGTTCCGTACTTATACTGGGTAACAGGTGAAATCGTTTCCAGCGGTGATATCAGTAGAGACAAGTTCGAGCAGACAATACTTGACACACTCTTGAATGCAGAATTGTATGTACATTTTGACGACCAGGTAGCTTTACCTTTCAAGCCTGTTCAAATGTGGCATGATTTTAATATTACAACATACTGTATGGATATTGAAAACAACAACACTGACATAAAATGTTTTGATGACGAAGAAGTCATAAATTTTGCTTTAAGACCTCGGTATTTTCTCGGTGTCTATTCCAGTGTTGTTGATTTGTTTATAAATCTTACAAGAATATTGACATGTAAATTTGTCAGCTTTTCAAGATCCCAATATCTGATTGAAGCGGACTACAAAAATTGTCTGCCTAGTGTTACTATCAAGTTTAATTTTGCTACCAAACAGATTTCCATCGCCAATGATTCTGGCTTCAGCAAAATGTCGGTCGATGTGAATGGAGAGTTGAACATTTGTTGTGATTTTCTCGACGAGCAGATAGCCTTAATGTCTGGGGTCAGAGAGAAGGCAGGTTTAATCAAGACAGTTCAGTACTTTCTGACTTTTGTCTGCATGGGCGTGTCCATGTTGTGTCTTCTACTGACCATTGTGACGTATGTGAGGTTCTCTGTTCTGCGAAGTGTTGCCGGGAAAAACAACTTGTGTCTTTGTCTCAGCCTGTTTCTGGCACAGGCGTCTCTGCTGGCTAGTTTTTTCACGTAAGTATGTCTGTGTATGTCTGTGTATGTCTGTGTTTGTCTGTCTATGTTTGTCTCATCTGTCTCCTTGCTTATCTTGACCTTAGCAGTTGTATTTCCCCGCCTTTGAGCCGTAAAGCTGTTTTCTAACTGGACACACATGTGGTTTCTAATCCCTCAACTTACCACACATGAGCATTCCAACTCCACCATCTACCTCACATGTGCTTCCTAACTCTCCACGTTATTGTAGATAACGTACTTGTGTCTTTGTTTCACTATAACTCTATTAAAATACAACTGCTCTTTTATCAACTTTTGACTTCACAGAATCGTATATTTAATTCTTATATACTTCAGCTTGTTTTATTGATTATAGCAAGGCATTTAATTGTGTCCAACACCACAAACTGTGGACTATTATGAAAAGTATAGGGTTTCCAGCACATTTAGTGCATTTAATAGAACATCTTTATCATGAACAACAAGCAGCCATCAGAGCAGCTGGTGAAACATCTGATTGGTTCGAGGTGCAAAAAGGGGGTAAGGCAGGGGTGCATTTTTTCACCACACCTATTCAATATATACGCAGAAAATATAATAAGAAATGTAAAAAAGACCAGACTTGTGGCAGTTATGATCCGCTCAAAATTTGTGTCAACCCTATTCTGGAACTCCGCTACGCAAATGACACAGTCATCCTTTCAAATAGCATAAAGGGAATAGAAAAATGTAATATTGTCCGTCCAAAAGCACAGTGAAGATCAAAATCTGTTCTTGAATTTAAAGAAAACGAAAATAATGTCCACATTTAAAAACATTTTTATCTCTAGTATAGTAGTTGAATGTTGAATTAAGAATCGACATCACAGCCCTCGGAACACTCCCATAAGTTCCCAGTCCACATATTCAGCAGCAAGCGAAGAGTTGCAATTCCGATGGTATCAGTAACCCTCTGATTGTATATCCGTCTCATCTTTCGGCCAGATTCCCTGGTAACACCTCGCAGAGCCATTCTTCTTAGACCGTAATGATCTATCTGCGCCTCCGCACTGTTGACTCGCTCCCAAAAAGCCCTCAAATTATCTAAATTATCATACATGATTTCACCACCAAGTGGTACAGAGCCAGTCAGTCTTTCTGCCCGCTCATTTCCCAACACACCGGCATGACCTGGAGAAAATATCCATGAGAGGCTAACTACCAGGGACTTTTGAAGTGATGCTTGCCACTCTGCACGAAGCTGACATACTCTGTGAGTCAGTTACAATCACGGAAAATGTGTACAGCTGATTCTCAAGCCAGCGAAAGACAGCAGAAAATGCCTCCACCTCCATTCACAAACTTGATACCATATGCAAGGCTTTACTGCACTAGGCGACGTAAGTTCGCATTCGCTACTGTAGAAGCACAGTGAAAATTAAAATCTGTTCTTTATTTTAAAGAAAACGAAAATAATATCCACAGATAAAACTAGCTGTCACCCAAAAATAACAATAAATGATGAAGAAAATGAAAATGTCACAAACTTTGAATATCTAGGCTCTATAATAAACAACAATAGAGACTTCGACAGAAATTAAAAGGAGGATGGCCATAGCAATGCAAAGATTGAACAGCCTTAAAAGTCTATGGTTAAGCACCGGCAGAGAGATAAAAATTAGAATTTTGAGAGCATGCATCTTCCCTGTGGCTACTACGGATGTGAGTCGTGGACTATCAGTCCTTAAGAAAGAGAATAGGGACTTTCTCGAAAACAAATAATTTGGTCATTTCAAGCGCCACGACGGATTGGAAAAAATTATAGCAGAAGGCATGGTACCAGGAAGGAGGGGAGGGGCAGTGGCCGACCGACACGAAGATGGGCACAGGATATAAGTGACTCCTTGAGTGTAAAAGTGCATGAGGCGGGAGAACTGGCGAGAGACCGAGTTTCTTTCAGGCAGACTGTGATGAGAGCGACGTTCTGCTAAGGACCTGCTACATGATGATGATGAGTGTAGATTTTTCTAGTGTAGCGGAGAAATTGTGGTGAGTACCGCTTTAGACACTTTATGGTGAGAATCGACACCTTTTATTCTAGTAAAGAAAAACCTGATTAGATCTGTTGGGAACTCAAAAATGTCAGAACTTCAGTATACAAGATTTAACCTATTCTTGTCCAAATATTTGTTATTTTTGGTAATAACTGCATGTTTCCGTGGATAACAATAACATGATTCAAGCATAGCAAAAAACGAGACGCACGCCAAACACGCCAGAAGACTTGTTAATCAACATAGAACTGGTACTTTTAGCCATCGGACGTTGAGGTTCATACTGAGGGGAGAATCTGAGCACCTATTAACATGTCCGGAGTGGAATGATGATAACCTAACTAACTAACTAACTAATTAACTGACTAATGATTGAAGCAGAAGAGGCTGAAGCAGGAATTGTAAGATTTCATGCATACAGCAAGTAGATGTGCATCAATAAGTTCATAAAGTATATCATGTCACTTGAACCATGGCTGGATTAGACGAAGAGGTCCCAAGCTATAAAGGGACATGAGGCCCCTACTAGCTAATATCAGAAAACTTTAAAATATGCATATATTTTAAATGTGTGGATTATGGAAATATATCGTCGCTTAGTTGTTATTAAAAGAACTAATCAACAATGTTGACAATCACATAAATTATATTATATAATTCTCCACAAAACTATAATGGAAAAAAACGAAGAAAAACATTAAAAAAAAAAAGATTTTAAATATATTACACACACACAAAAAACTTCACTTGAAATGCATTGAAGGAAAATTGTATTTGTGAAACAAGTAGTAATTCATCTGAGGCCAAAGCAGATTAGGAGACTAAGCTGTAGCTTAGATAAAGTAAAAGTCGGGAGATGTGAACCAGCGTCATTAAAACCAAAAGTGCTTTGCCGCCAGAACGGACAGCTGATAAGAAACTGTCGTCTGTGTCACCGTTCGCACACAACTCTGTAGCTACAGCGTCGTTCCTCCATTTAGCCCAGAGTTTTAACTCTAGTAGCCATTACCTAGTAGCTGGGGGAACCACAGGAACAGCCCGCTTTCAAACACCGGCCGTGCGCTGCATCGAGTCGCAGCTGGATTTAAAAGCGAGTCTCCTATCGACTGCGCTAACGCGACCCCCTACACCTCTAGGTGAAATCAACTAAAACATGGTCATTTTTTCCGTGATCAGTGAGTTGAGACTTTGAACTTTTACAGAGAATCATAACCAAAACATTAAAACATCATTTGTATATTTAAAAAATATATTAATATCTCTTTCTTCTTCGCTTTTAACGGCCGTAAACCCTGCGAAAAGTTGTGGTTGTTCAGCCACCTGTAGACGTTTGACGTGTTCCAGAATCTGAGTTTTGCGTACTAGTCCGTTTTAGAGATCTGACATATTTGAATGCAGACTGTATACTCCGACTTGGACGGAAACCTCCAGTTAGTCGATCCTTACAACATGCTTGTTATGGTGGCAGTAGATCTGTTGTTGTTTGCCTCACAATGAGACCCCGAAACCCACATAGGGATAAACCATCTCAAGCCTCCCGTGTGGTTTCGGAGCTCAGGTTAGGAGAAAAAATAATAGACCCCCTCCCCATCTTTTAAAAAGCATGTCGTAGTAGGTGACTAGTTAGGGGCTTTCCTTTAAAGTCTAAGTGCATCTGCCCGAGTTACAAGGAACCAACAGTCTTCATACAATAAGCCAGATCTGTAAATTGGATGTGCAAGCAAAACTCTAGACCTAAACCAGAAGTGGTCAAACAACCCGAAGTTTCCACTGGATTTTACAGCTTGTGTACGCCAAAAAGAAGGAAAAATGTCAAACCTAAACTGCTGCATCATTTTTTAAAAGTAAATGACCGTTTACTCCACAGGAATGTCGAATCCGTCCTGTGCATCCCCTTGGGAATGCTGACCCACTTCTTATGGATAAACATGTTTGTGTGGAACTTCCTTTGCTGCTTCTACATGTACAGAGTTTTTGGCGCCAAGACCCGCATCCTACAGAAAACTCCTCGATCTCAGAACATCAGCTTGATCAAGAATGTTGCCTTCTCCTTGCTGGCCCCGGCCATTGTTGTTTCGTTGGTTGTGGTTGGTGTTTACGTCACTTCCGGTGGAAGCAGCCTTGGATACGGTGGCAGCGTCTGTTATTTGAACGACAGAATTCTTGTTGGTAGGTCCACTCATTTGTACATCTTCGATTTCTACTTCGTCATCCTCGTTATGTGTTCACTGAGAAACGACTCATTTTTTTTTTTTTTTACAAGACTGGTCAACTGGATTCTGCGGTATTGAACAAGAAAAACATCAAAACTATAGGAAACATTCATTACGGCAGCGAATGCAAAACGTGTTAAAAAAACAAAAACAAATAAACCTTTGAAACAAAGAGAAAATTACCCCAAAAAAAAACAACAAACAAACAAACAAATACACATACATAATTTTTGAAAAACAACACAAAACAACACCACCTTCACCAATTAAAATAATAACAACAAGAAGTTTAAAACCTACCACACAGATGGCAACAAAAATAATAACAAAACTTTCAACAAAAACAGGAATAAAAACAACCTTAAAAACCATGACGATAACAATATCAAAAGACCGATAAAACCCGATTTAGCAGAGAGCGTTCAGAAAATCCAGTGGACTCTCAAAACGGAGTAGCAAAAATGCAACTGACACCATCGCCTTTGGTTGGGTCCTTCTCGTTAACGAAGAGTGCAGAGCAATCATAAGATAGTCACAAGTAGAGTAATGTTGAAATAAAAAAGAGACAAGTTAAATATTTTGGCCACATTAAAAGACATAACAGTATTGTAAAGATCATCCTAGAAGGAAAGGTTCAAGGTAGGCGAGCAAAAGGCAGACAGCGTTACATGTGGGAGGATAACATCAAGAGATGGACGAACAGCAGTATGAGTGAGTGTACATTAAGGGCAAGAGACAGGGCTTGTTGGAGATCCATCACAGCCAGCCTGGAGACGGCACCTGATTGATTGATTGAGAGTAATGTAAATAAATTGATGAACGAATGAACAGGCATCAGTGTATTCGAAATTGTCCTAGTAGGTGCTCATTCCCCTTCATGATTTTGTGATCTTTCGTGTTATTCATAATGTGCATATGATCATAGTAAAGTAAATGACCTTTTCTACGCCTTACTACCGCATTGGGTATATAGGGCTAGAACTATATTTGATAAACCAACAGCACAAGATGGGTGATGTGGTCAGCATCACACCGGCCGCCTTAACTTCCAAGGACTGCACCCGGTCTACCAGGGAGCCAAGGTGATTTTTGAATAAAGTCCGGCTCCAACAGGGAGCGAACCCATGACCTTTCGACCCGCAGGCGAGCGTCTAGCCGCTACGCCACGGCGACACCCATCATAAGATCATAACATGCTTTATTGGATAAAATACAACTGGTGTGCGAAAGATGGCTGATTGGAAGGACCGAATGTCAGACGGGCCTGCGTGCCCAATTTGTGACCCTTTGAAAATAAAGTTCGTTTTTTTTGTTCTAAGCAGTTAATGCTCAATTAATATCCATTTTCGTCCTTTTTAGGACGAAATTTTTTGTTATTTGAAGCCCCACTCTGGCTTTTGCCAGGGGCCGCAATATAGACAGGCCATAAATATGGCCAATTGTCTGAAAGCGGTTTATGGGACCTCTCCACTGCGATCCTCATCTGCATGGTGGCACTTTGTGTCATCGGGTGTTTATCGCTTGTGTGATGTTCTAGTGGGGTAGAAACTCAGTCAGTCAGTCTCAGCAGTCACTGTGAAATTCCCATGCTGATGATTCCAGATTAAATCTTTGCCTGTGTATATTTTTTTTTTTCTGCAAAAAGAAAATAGTCCGGTCGTCTGCTGACGCCAACAGTTTACTTGATGTCAGAGTGTCTTCACCTTGTCCTCTTTATCATAAAGTAGTTCACTACTCAAGAGAGCAACAGCAGCGAGTCTTCCAGCATGCTGGTTACTACGCACACATGTTTTCCCAGGGCAAACAGACTCATTACTGACTCCAAAATTCATTTATTTACTCACTCACACCTTCGTTCATTTTTTTATGCGTGTGTCTGTATTTCTGACAGCCGCTGCCACTGTTGCCCCCGTGATTCTCATCACCATCGTCAACATCCTTTTCTTCCTGATGACCATCTACAGCATCCACGGCGTGGCCAGGCTGCAGACGATCTACACGTCCAAGAAGGATGACCAGCACAACGTGTACATCTACGTCAAACTGTCCAGCGTGACAGGGGCGTTCTGGATCACCTTCATAGCTGCTGAAATCTCCGACCTGGACGGGCTGAGGTAGGTGGCAGTTGGGGGAAAACAAAACTGTGACTTGACAGCTAACAGAGTTGGAAAACACACTCACGCACGCACGCATGCTCATACACGCACACACAAATACAGCCTAACGCTTGAAACAGAGACACACAAAATCATGGTACAAGTACAGTTAAATCTTAGCGATCAGTTATATTTTTACACTTCTTCCTCATCCCTTTTTCCGATTTCTATGCCTATTTCTTTCTTTTGTCCATATTTTGCTTTGTGCCGCTAAGCGTTGCAAGGTAATGGATGGTCGGTTTCTGAGGTAGCTTTTGCTCGGTTTCCCGCTGTGCTGTGATGTTGTTGAGTGTCTAGGTATTAATGTCTTCTTCAGTCCCTATTCTTCTTGGTCGTCCTCTACATCTTATTGTTTTGCCTTCACTTGGTACGCTGTTGTTGTTTGCATCATTGAATTTATTCTCATTAAACGACCGAATCGTTTCGGTCTTCACTTAATGATTTTAACTATAGGTGCTGTTTGAATAGTTCTTGTAATTGCTTCGCTTCTCACGTGATATATCCTTTTTTTTTTTTTTTCTGAAGGTCTTTCTCAAACATCTTATTTAGCCGATAGATTGTTTTCTTTCGTGTTCTTTAGCCATGCGTCCCTGTTTCTTTAGCCACACGTCCATGTCTGATACTTAATATCAAAAGACTACAATTAAAATTGCATTTATAATTTGTCTTGTTTTTCTTTCTTGTGATCGCTGGGCGACTTTCCAGTACTGTAATAAATGTCCTGAACTCATTTAATGGCTAGGATGTTCAAAGAAGGAGAAAAGAAACAACACTGGCAGAAACAGTCCAACGTAACGAGCAGCATAACAACTAGGAAAATCCTAATTAGAAACGTTAGATTGTTTCTGTGTGGTCCCTTGTGCCCCCCCCCCCCCCCACCCCTTTTTTCGTTGAGCTTACTTCGCAAACGAATACTAAGACTGCAACTAGTCAAGCATCTCTTCACAGAGCCACAGGTGAAATTGTTTTGCCACCTAAGGAAATGCCCTGGTGTCAACTACCACAAGGAGCTAAAATGGAGTCACAAAATAAATTTTAAAAAAGGGAAAAACATTGCACAATTTCAACAAAAAAAAAAAAAAAATGATTGTATTTAAAAAAAAAAACATTAGCTGAACGGAGATCAACTTATACAGCGTATAAGAAAAACCGCAAAGACGATCATAAATCTCCTACCTCTTCCCCAGTCACCTTCCATTATTTAGTTGATTCAGCATAAAAAGATCTAAATGAAGGCAGGAGGACTCCCTCGGGGATAATGGATTGATGACATTTAGGAGCCGCTACATGGGATCGGAATGACAATCGCGTTGATACCCATCAAACAATGGATCGCAAACTATTCCTGCCTACAATGCTCAACGTCAGATGTGAAAAATGATTATGATGATGATGATGATGATGACTATGATGAAGATGACAATAATGAGTGTGGCTGTAGTGACGTGATGCTGACATGTCACAAAATGTAGCCATAAAAAGACATTTTTTTGTGAACAAAATATACACTTTCTGTTCCTAGAATCGTTGCAATCATGCTAAACGGACTTCAAGGTCTCTTCATCTTCATCTCCTTTGTCTGCAACAAGCGGGTGCTCATGCTCTACCTGCCGCCTCGGTCACCACAGATAACTAACATCACACGGACCAGCTCCAATTCTGAGACAAAAGTTCATCAGCGGGATGCTCACCACGAACTCCAACACGCGCAGTCCGTGGCCTTCGTCAGCGGGGAGACAACTAGCGGAAATATGTTCTTCGCTGACATTACTGCGATACAGCCTGATAGTTTCTTGGGTCGAAAAGCTGATGAGACTGTTCTAAAGAAGTGAGCTTTATGCCTGACGCCAGTAGGATCAGCCCTGTTTTCTGAACAAACTGGATATCTTTAAGAACAAATGTGTCCAAGGTGTATCTGAAGCCCTTGTGGAATGAAAAAGACAACGGCATCGTTAGGATGTTTCATGATGTTTTGTGTTTGGTCAAGTGTGATTTTGTTTAGTTGTGCTGTGCACGTACTCAGAAGAGTGGAAGAGTGAAAGGCACTGGTTTAAGTGGAAGGACGATATGGAGGAGTACACTGCAAATGTAGGACTGATAAATGTTGCACAAATTATAGGCATTCAGTTCTCTGGCGGTGTACACTGATACAAATTGTTTCAGAAATGCTCAAGACAGCAGATGATGTAACCATAACATACTGACATATCTATTTAACAGAATATGGGTGCAGTTTTCACCTTACCCCACCAGTGGAAGAAATTAGTTAGTTAGTTAGTTAGTTGGGTTATCCTCATTGCACTCCGGACATGTCCATAGGTGCTCAGATCCTCCCCTCAGTATGAACCCCAACGTCCGATGGCTAATAGTACCAGTTCTATGTTGATTAACAAGTCTTCTGGCGTAGCTGGTGTGCGTCTCGTTTTTTGCTGTGCCGATCTTAATTCCCAAGTCTGCCATTCTGGCGAGTGATGTGGATTCACTGCCACCAAAGTCCTCTATTCTTCCCATTTCTCTGAGGGCATTGATAATATCAGCATGATCCATAGGCTGACCGTCGGTAGTGATAGCGGATCCAGCCAACCTGTCAGCTCTTTCATTTCCATAGACGCCTGCGTGTCCCCGGAACAAAAAATAAAGGTGACTCCACGAACAGTGGACTTCTGTAATGATTCAAGCCATTGTCTTCGCACTGAACCTGCCTGAACCCTCCGGATCATACTCATTGAATCACTGAGTATACACACGCGGGTGTATTTTTGTGTTTCAAGCCAGGCAAACGCTTGTGTCACTGCCATCACCTCCATCGTCATGCTGCTGGTTGTCATGGAGAAGGCGCCGTTGGCTTCTTTGACTGTTCTGCCCGCTGAGCGTGCTGTAAATGCCCATGCGCTTCTTCTTTGGCGTATAACGGATCCGTCTGTATAGATTATTGCATCTGCAAGTGGAAGAAATGATTAATTGTTAATTTCATAAACGATGACATTTTACCGTCCAAGAACTGAAGAGGAATTACTCTATTATCAGTAACATCCAAAGGATTTTGTAAACGTACCATTAGGCGCAATCTAAAAGCAGTAAAAAGGACCTTTTTACCTGGAAAAATAAGTAACTCACAACAAATAGGAAATATTCTAATATATTAATAATAAAATTCAAGCTTATTGTAATTTAATTTCTTGAAAACAACGACCTCCTATTTTTTTTTTTTATTAGCAAGAAAGATCTCATGTTAGATCAAACAGAACATTGCTGGTGTGAATCGTGCTATCTTTTGGCATACCAGTCTAAAAAATTAACATATGCTTAGAGAAACTTATGATGACTCGGATGATGATTTAAGTGACAATACCTATCATATGATTTTTTTAAAAACCATATCAATCAGTCAATCAGTCAGTCAGGTGCCGTTTCCACATTGCAATTGATCTCCAACACTCTCTATCTCTTGTCATGTTTGTACATTCTTCCAGACTGTTGTTTTTTCATCAAACTGTAAGGATGAAATGGATACACGTTGCAGATGGATTTGAGAGAGAGAGAGAGAGTGAGAGAGAGAGAGAGAGAGAGAGAGAGAGACAGAGATAGAGAGAGAGAGAGAGAAAGCGTGACTGGGTGAACGAGAGAGAGAGAGAGACAGAGAGATAGTTTACAAAATCTAAATCTGAATGACAAGCCAACAAGGTTAATTCCAGATACCTTGTTCAACCCTCAAAGAATTTATAACTAGGAACCTGTAATAATCCTACCATCTGGATGTAACGGGCAGTACTGCGACGTGAGGACTGCATGCTTTCAGTCATCCGGATGTAACGGACAGTACTGCGACGTGAGGACTGCATGCTTTCAGTCATCCGAGAAGCGCAAGACAAATACAGAAAACCACGACACTGTTCTAAAGCTTGGTAACAGAAGGACAACAAAACAAGAACAAAAAATGCATGTGACGCCAAGCATTGTTCCAATGCATAGGTCACCATGGACCACAAGGTCCGACAATTAAATAATGAGACTTATTTTATTATGGCCCAGACAAAAATGCCAACAATGAAGCAAGGAATGGAATCTAAAGAGACAACATTTATCTATGATCTGGCAATTTTTCATCGCCGTTGGATAAGCAGACAACAAACAAGCCACCATTCTGTAGACCTAGTCAGAGGTGCATTGTTACGTAATCAGCACGAAGCAAAAAGCTAAAACTAAAATCTGTTTAAAACTCAGGAAAAGCACCATTGAAATAGTTGAATGATGCAAAAAGTTTATGGTGTTAATTGTTTATCTCGTGTAAAAATTTTCAGGTGGTATTCACTATTCAAAAGTTGCGTGGAAATGATTACTAATGCACCTAGACCTGGATGCCAAATTTCAGTTCGTAATGATAAACTCATTGCAAAAGTCAGAGAACGTATACATTAAGATCGTTGTTTTACTGTGAGGATGATGGCAGATGAATCTGGTGTTAATAGAGAGACCATACAAAACATTTTAGTGCAAGATTTTGGCAAGACAAAAGTTGCTTGCCGGTTTGTACCGTATTCATTTTCAGATGACCAAAAACATCAGCAGATTGAGTACCCAAGAGACATCATCAAAACAAGAACTTTTGGCCTAAAAACAAGTGTGTTCTCAGCCTTTCACCCTATCCTCCAGATTTGTCTCTTTGTGATTATTTTTTATTCCCAAAATTAAAGTTACAATTGAAAGGACGCTTCTTTAACGATATTGATGACATCCAAAAGGCTGTAACATCGACTTTGAGGGCCATAACAACAGAAGAACTACAGAGGTCGTTACAGTGTTTGTTAGATCGTGCCACTTGCTGTATCAAAGCACAAAGGGCTTACTCTAATGAAATCCAGGTTATATCTTCAACTGTTAATTTTTTTTTTTTTAGAAAGTCTTTTTACTAAATTGTTGGACCTTGTTCATTTCCTATAATGTTTATTATTTCTGCGGTCTTAAAAATGGAAAAGTCAATTACGCATTCCTGGAGGTCTTCACAGAACGAACTTCACTGTTTGTTGGCTCTCTTAGCTTTTCTTGGCAATTAGACGTTCAGTAGATTGCCACTGCAAACGGACAAATCTGATTACCCTTGTCGAACTGAACGCAGACATCGGCTGCCAAATGGCTCGCAGTTGGAATCGAACTAGGTATCTTGGTATTACGAAGCTCGTTCGCAACGCCTAAGCCACAGATGTTGATTTTTATTTCTTATAGACAGAGGTGTTTCATTTCCTAAAGACAAAGATTAATTATTAAACTGTCAAAATTATCCAGGAAATATGACACGCATGGGTAAGGCGTCGGGAGCTTTTAAAAGCTTGTCAAAATATGAAACTCTAAATGGTGTAATTTGAGAACCCAACTACATATTTTCATTTCTAATGTTTTTTCAGTTTCACCAGAATGCCAGTGACAGTTGAAAATCCATTAAAGACACAGAACAAAATTTACATGCATTCGAACACAAATGCATAAAAAAAATAATGAATATATTGAGGGATGAATCTGATAGGAGTGAAGAAATGAGATAAATGTCCCGGCAAGCACTAGTATCAACAGTTACAAGGCCGAGAAGATGACTCTGTACTGGACAGATTCTGAGCAAAGACAAACAGAGCATTTTAAAACAGGCACTGAAATAGGAAATTGACGGACAGACGAAACGTGGGCGTCCAAGAGAAACTTTAAGGTGAACGGTGATGAGAGAAGCCAAAGGTACTATAGTGATATCAAAGTGACTGCATAGGACAGAGAATTAATAAAAGGATTGCGAGCCCTGTGTGTCATAAAATGGAACACCATGACAAACAATGAAGAGATCGCATTTCTGCGGACACTGGTACCTTGTAACAGAAACTTTGCAAGTTAAGTGGGAGTGTTAAAGGTTATCAATCAACCAGGTGGCGTCTTCACAATGAAGGCTGTTTGCTATGAATCTCCAACACTATCTGTATTTTGGCTTGGTAGCACATTCACTCAGACTCTAGTTGTCCATCTTTTGATATTGTCCTTCAACGTGTATCGTTGTCTACCTCGTGCTCTTTTGCCTTTGACTGTTTCCTTCAGTGTGGTTTTAAAAGAGTATTATGTTTTATTTCAGGTGTCTCTTTTTTCCTTCCTGCGCCGTGTCATCCCCATTTCCCAATATCTTCAAAACCTCTCTTTTGAATTATGTATGTTTCCACGAAACACAACATATGCTTGTCGAATCATTAGCACTCCATAATTTCTGTTTTTGCTATAAAATGAATTTCGGTAATATTTTCTTTGACAAGCATTGATCAGCAGATATCCTAATTTCCCTGATTGATTTTTTTTCTTACTATTTTATCGTTCCACAGAATTCGCCATATTTTCTCTAGTACTGGCTTGCATCTTTTGATAAGACCCTGAAAAGAAACATATCGTGGATTTTATGAGCCTAGGAAATTCGGATGTACACAGTAAAAATCAGATTGACAGACTAGCTGATGCTGCCCCTCTGGGTGCTGAGCTAATTTACGATAACACAGACAGTTGACTCTTTCTAGGGTCAAACAAACAGTGCAATAGAACAGACCGGGCATTCATATTTTTGAACTTCGAACAACGGATCAATATCATAGCACACGGGTAGTAACCCATAAGAGCTTAGTTATTCTTCTAACTTAAGTCCACAGAAGCTCAGCACAATGCACAGCTCTGTAGCACCGGCGAGGATCCTGAAATATATTGGGTAGATTCTTAACTGCAAATTTTGCCCGGGCAGCGCCGATAGGCTACTTTTTTCGATTTCCAACTGCCAAGGGATTTTTTTTTACGTGCGCAAAAATGCACACGGGCG